TGGTCTCCTCCATCCCTTTGGCTCTTACACTCTTTCTGCCTCCTCTTCCAGGAGGTTCCCTGATCCCTGAGAGGAGAGATTTGAAGAATCTTCTTTAATGATGGCTGAGAAAGGTAATAATTTACTAGGAGTCATTTAATTGCTATTTTTTAAAAAACAGTAGTATTTGGGTTTACCCTAGGTCCCTGGGCTATTTAATCTCAGGTTTTTAGTCACCCAAGCAATGCTGGGTTTGAGTTCCATCTCATGGAGTGGACCTTAATTCAAGTAAGATACTGGGTGATTACTCCCGAAACTTTATGCCATCATTATACTAGGATATCTTGCAGACAAGACAGCACGATAGATCAAAGTGTTTGTGGCTGGGTTGGTGTTTATGTTTATCCTTTGGTAGAGTGCAGAACCCCTTCTTCTATCAATGGTCCTTAGGAGTGAAGGCTCTATGTATACAAAAGGTTGACTTTCTCCATGATCAGTGAGTTGTGTTAAGTGTTGGCATCCGTAATGGGGCCTTGCTATCAGTTTGTGGAGAGCAACCCATAGACTTGGCAACAGCATCGGTTGTTTGGGGGTTTCCATCAGACCCCTTTGACCAGCAACTCAATTAGATGTAACCCAATTCCAGTACTGGAAACTTTACTTGGTGACAAGCTATACCAGTTGGGGCTCTGTCTCCCATTATTTGGTGATTTTGCTTAGATCACCTTCATATATAAGTATATATTTTAGGAAGCTTCTTCTACTCTATTAGGTTTCTATACTATCCCTCAAACGGCCCTTAATTTTAGCTGTCTCTCCTGTTATCCTTTCCCTCATTCTTCTCCTCCCTCCTACACTTCATTTGGTCCTCTTGTCCCAGCCCACCCACCTCCCATCCATCCATCCATCCATCCATCCATCACTTTCTATTCTTTACCTTTCCTAGGGAGATCCTCTCCCCTGCCCCTACCTCCAAGTCCCTTATTCTATACCTAATCACTGTGGTTCTACAGACTGTAGCTTGGTTACCATTGATTTAACAACTATATCCACATATAAACAAATGCCATATTTGTCTTTCTGGGCCTGGGTTACCTCCTCACTCAGGATGACTTTTTTTCTATTTCTAATTACTTGTGACTTTCATTGTTTCATTTTTTAAGCAGTTGAGTAAAACTCCATTGTGTAAATGTACATTTTCTTTATTCATTCATCTGTTGAGGTAAACCTAGGCTGTTTCCAGTTTCTGGCTATTATAAAAAAGAGCAGCAATGAACATCGTTGAGAAAGTGTCTCTGTGGTAGAACGAATCATTCTTTGGGAATATGTCTAAGAGTAGTATAGCTGGGTCTTGAGGTAGATCAATTCTCATCTTCCAGAGGAACTGCCACACTGATTTCCATAGTAGCTGTACAAATTTGCACTCCCACCAGCAAAGGAGGAGTGTTTCCCCTTATCCTTGACAATATGACTTATCCCTGATCCCAGCCATTCTGATGGGTATTAAGATAAAATCTCCAAGTAATTTTGATTTGTAGTCATGTTCTTGTGCACTATGTAAAGATTATACTTGTGTTATTCAAATGTTGATTTCTCTGCCCTCTTGTTTCAATAGGACACGGCATTGTAATGTCAAGAATCTCCTGTCTCAAGTTTGTGTAAACAATGCTTACCATTTATTCTCTGCCTTGTCAAAAATGGTGATCACTTAGTGGCTGGGCAGAAGAGAGAACAAGGCAGGACTTCCACCAGCCAGGGGAGGGAAAGAGAGAGAATTGTAAAACAGATTGAGCCACAAGGAGGGAGGAGAAGACAGGAGACATCATGAGAGTTCAGCTGAGAGTTCAGCTGGAGCATGGAAGGCCTTAAATGCAAGTGTTATGGGGATTTTGACTGGAAGGTAGCCAGATCAGTGTAGAGTTCTGAGGTGGATCAATGACTGCCCCGGTATTGAAGTAAAGATTGACTAAATCTTGGTATCTCTTTGTTGTTAATTTGGGGAATTAGCTAGAAAAAGTATAAATAGTCATTGTATTAATTTACTGAATATATTTATATTAAAAACTGGTGTTCCAATGATTTGCATTTCTCTGATGGCTAAGGATGTTGAACATTTAAGTCTTTCTCAGAGATATTTGCTTGGCCATGCTCATTGCTGCTCTACTCACAATAGCTAGGAAATATAGATAACCTTCAACTTAAACTGATCACACAATGCTCAGGAAGCTGGTCCTGTCTGGTGTCAGAAAGCCCCCAAAGACTGTTCCAGCAGAGTTAGGAAAGTGTGTAGTAAGTAGTTCTTGTATTTGGCAATGGCATTATTCATGCTGTGTCATTCATTGCTAATTTCTTTGGCAGCATGAGTGCCTTGCTTCTAAAATAGATTTCAGAGGCATCTGTCAAAACCAAAACAAATATTTCAATGTAGAAGCACAGGCTGCCAGACTCTAGACATATAACCGATGACAGTGGAGCTTTACAAAAACAAACAACAACCAAAAAAACAAACAAACAAAAAACAAACAAGGGCAGGACTTTGTTCCTCGTCATTTAAATTTGAAATAACATTAAATTTTGATTCCTTTATTCCTTAACACTTGCTTTTTGTTCTCGAAAAATGGATTTTGCATCCGTCATTCTTTTTTGGATACAGATTTCCTTTGAGCTGAGCTACAGATAATCTCCCTTCCCACAGAGTGTTAGGAATTCCTTGGTTTCTGTTTTGTTCTTTGTCAGAGCCAGCTTAATACCATGGGCACTGTGGTTCTTCCGCTGTCTTACTCTCCCATCAAGGGGCTCTGTGTCCTCTCTGGACATGGGAAACCATTTGATTTAGTGTTAGGGAAACAATCAGATTAAATGTTTCATACTAAATCACAATGTCTCAACTTCCTCCTCTAAATTCTTTTTTTTCAAAACTGGCACAAGCTTTGATCATATTTGTCTTACCAGAGGAAAGCTTGTCACCTCAACTGCTAATGAGTTTTAGATTAAGCTATTTCCCTTCTCCGAATGAGAAAATAGCCATGGTACTTTCTTAAATGAGAGACTCTAGAGACAGGTAGGTGTATTAGAAATATGTGTTTTAAAGATAGGAATTGCTTCCTGCTACCAGAAGTGAAAAGCATAATTGACCGCAAACATGGTTGAGTAGCAGCGGCTGGCTACATTTTCTTAGATCTTTCTGTTGCTTGTATACAGGAAGGGTCTGTCCCTGGCGGAGCTAGAACAGTCGTGGAGATAGGAACACCTGTTTAGAGGCTTTTCAGGCAGTCCCTTCATCAGTTAACAATGCTTGGCAACTACCAACTTTGGCTATATTTCCTAATTTCCTTACCAACTAATCTGAAACTCAGCAATTTAATCTCTTCTGGGCAACAGTATGGTGGCAAATGTGCAGTAACCAGCTGTCCCCAGAAAGAAGAACATGGACTTGCAGCATTTGGCAAATTTGGAGGCACAAATGCTCCTACCACAGCCAACCTGAAACTACCAATATGTCACACTGCTCAGTGTGTTGGGAAGCAATGTGTAAGTTGGTCCTCAGGGACCACCCCCTGGCCACTGCTACCTTTGTGCTCTTAAAGCAGCAACCAGAAGTTTAGTGTCCTGAGACTCCTTAATCACACCTGGGAGGACAGGTCTCTGTGAGCTTGGGATCAGCCTGGTTTGCATAGTCAAGGTCAACAAAGGACAAGGTGAGCCTTCCAGACAGCTGCTTACCAGAAAGGAGGGCTGCCAGGTCTGTGGCAGGCTGCTGGTCTTTCCACTTCACAAGATTTATTTACTATAAATACAGACAAGAGAAAAGAGTAGGGTGGGAAGTGGACTAGTGGTTCAGCAGTTAAGAACACTGATTGTTTTTCCAGAGGATCCTAGCTAAATTCCCAACACCCATGTCTCAGCTCATAACCATCTGTAGCTCCAGTTTCAGAGGATCTCATGCCTTCTTCAGGCTTCTGAAGGCTCCAGGCACACGAGTGGTAACAGGGAAGACACATACATAAAAATAAAAATAAAAATATAGCAGGATATGGAAAGAGAGAACCCCATTTAAAGATGTTAGAGGCCTATGTTGATTTACCAGGGGTTTTTTTCTGTATATTTTTAGGTGTGACTTGCTGCACTTCTATCAGTATGGTCACATAGCCTACTTGACTCAAGAAAGCCCATTACTGTTATTTATTGTGATGCTCAGCCCATTCCAGTTTGGCCAGCAGGGGTTCCTAAGTTTGCAGCTGTGTAATCCACCTCCATGGCTCTCAGAGCATTTCCTTTCGTACGGCAAGTGTGCTGTCTTGCCCCAAACCCTGAAACAGCCTTATGCACACTTTAGATAATGAATGCAAGTGATGTGTATTTTCATTTCTGGCCAAAGCCCAGACTTTTGAGATTTGGGTAGCATAAAATGTCTCTCTAGCATTTGATCACCTTCCGCAAAGCTGCAGAGCTGAATACAGACTCTGGATTCGTACACTTTAGTGTCACTAGCTGAGATGCTCAATTTGAAGCTGTTTCTGATTTTTGGTGCATCATATGGTTCTGCCACCTAATAGTGCCTAATAAACCCATGAGTTTTCAGTGCTTGGAAACCCATGAGTTTCAGGGAGTTCGTGTCTGGAAGGATTGTAGATGGCTATAATTCCAAAATAAAGGTTCATCACAGGCTTTAAAAAGTGTTGACAGCACTTTCCTGCAAACCTAAGCTTTGAGTAAGGAAAGTTGCCGATACCTACATGTTTTGAATTCCCAATTACTAGCCTACCCACAAAAGTTCACAGATGAAGAAAATCTGGACAACGACTTTACTGAGTGCTCTTTTGTGGACTGGCAAAAAGCTCACTGAACAAAAGCCCACTGAACCGAGGGTGTGACCCTTCTAGAGGAACGGTGTCTTGCTCTGCAGTGGCCCTAATTCCCCATCCATGGTCTTTAGGAGTGCCTTACTTTCACTGACATACACATGACAAACAATTTCCAAAATATTCAACCTTAAAGCTGAGAAAAGAACAGAGACAAACTTGTAAAAATACATCTTTTAATAAACATGAGGCAGCACAGCACACCCACTGAGGTTTTTACCTTGTGGTTTACAGCATACACTATCCATCACAGAGCGTATGTACAAGCAGAGTGAACTCGGGATCTCAGATTTATTCTTCTCCCAAACCTGGGCAACACAAATTCTGTGCACCATCTCACATTCAAGGTTGTTTGCCAAACTGGCTCCTTAAATGGCTTTTAAAATCAACAGCTTTTTAGCAACAAAAGAAGTTATCCATCCCATCTCAATAACAGCCCAGGAGTGCTCAAGTGACTCAAAAGGATTGTAAATACATGCTTTCCTTTGATGGCTTTAAAAAAAAAAAAACAGCTATTTATGCTCAGTCTGGAATACTAAAAAGATAATACAGAAACAGCTGCTTCTCTTCCTGAGTGAATTCATAATAAATAGTAACTGGAGGCTATAGATGATAATGCCAAAAGATTCTCATAAGAAAACTTAATGTTTGTAGTTACAATCCTGTGAGCTAAAAATTGTCTAGTATTCTCATTGCTGAGTCCACTTTTTTTCCTAATTCTTTTTTTTTTTTTTAAGACAACGGCTCACTGTGTAGCTCTGACTGACTTGGAACTTGCTATGGAGACCAGAATTTCCAGAGATGCACCTGTCAGGATGCCTCCTGAGTGCTGGTATTAAAGTCAAAAGCCACTACACCTGGCCCTATTTTTTATCTCTTTATACCAAAACCAAGGTATGGTGGACTTCTTAATTCTTTTGAAAACAGTTTAGTGAGAGAAGAACTAAGATTAATTAACAAAGGAAAAAGACTAATATTAATCTCAAAATTCCAGCTGCCATTGTCTTGGAATGAGCAACACTCAGCTTTACTTATGAATGAGAAGAACCAGAGGTGGAAAAGATTAGAAGCCATAATTTTAAAAAACCATAGATGTGCATGCTTTGTACTGACAGTATTTAAAAATTATACAACTAGATTTACTTGCCTACATGAAGTAGTACTGGACTTAGGGAAAAGTATTACATATCTCTATAGAAATACTCAGATTTGCAAAAGAGGCATCATAAACTGTTACCATAAAATCAGCTGCTTGTAAAAATCTAAAACCATTATACTACAATCCTTACAAACATAATGCTATTAAGTGGACTTTATACCAATTAATGAGCAGCTCAAATCCCTAAGAGTTAAGACCCAACATCCCTCAATGTCAAAGTTAAATGTTAGTACTAACATGGTTTTATCCATTTGATATAACATCAGAAGAGATGTTTTTAAAACTTGTCCCTCTTTACTGTATCATTAATTTCAGAGGTAGAACGGGTATAATTTAATCTCTCTCCTTTCTTGCCCATTCTCATGATCTGAGACCATTATTATGGCTTGTGAGCTATGGGAGGAGACCTAACTAAAGTGAATTTCGAGTGTCCAGGCTATTGCTGCTGGTGTACCATAGGCTGTCTGTGTCAGAAAGACATGTTTCAGGTGAAATACATTCCTGGGTCAATGCTTGACAAGTTTACCAGCTACCATAAAGTCAGACTTGCCACTGGTTATCAAATGTATTAGATCAAAATTCCTACACAGCCACAGCTACTTCTCCTGTTTCTGTATCCTCTAAAGTACTTACTCAAGTGTTAGGTAGTGTTAGAAGCAAGTAATCAGTCCTGAAGCAGGAACTGAACAGAGTAAAGCCACTACTCAAATAGTAGCCACCAAATGAATCTTTGACACTGACACTGAAGAACAGACTCCTGTGCCCTACCATTTGTGTCTAAAAGACAACCATTTGGCTTCAACGACCTTTTACTCATTTGTCCTAGGCACTAAGTGCTTGTACAGCACATGAGCACTACCTCACTCGGGATATCTGAAAGGAATTCTTGCTTCGAATGAAGCAACATACTCTCTCTTGACATATTTTTAACTCCAGCAATATAATCAGTTAACTAGACGTAGTTGGGTGTGCCTGTAGTTAGTGCTCAGGAGGCCAGCGGATGGAAAGTTTGAGTACAGACTGGTCTACAGAGTGGTTTCTAGGCCAGCGAGGGCTACACAGCAAGACCCTGTATGAAACCAACAAAGTCAAATGTTAACCGTATTTAAATGTTAGCCTTACTCTGTCATCATTTAAAATGCGTTTCACTTTTCACTGAAATGAGGTAGAAGATAGTAATCTTCAGTATACTGATGCCTATTCAATTAGTCCCAAGAGAGAACAAAATTATACCTTCAAACTGGTAGAGTCCTGAAGATAAACTACTAGCCTTATCCGACCAAGATGTCTTAAATTTGAAACTGCCCCCTTTCACTTTTAAGTCATCGGAGACGATGCACAATCTGAAATATCGGTAAGGATCAAACAGCGTTGTTCAATATGCTGTTTTCATTGCCTCAGTCGTTATCACAGGTCCTTTCACGTAAGTAATTGATCAGACATCGACAAGGAGGACTACAGACCCTCCTGGTCTTAGAAGCAAGATAAAAGGAATGTTTCACATTTAGAAGAATATGTACCTCATAAAATCTAGCAGCATTTCATTCTACCAAGATATACAAATTTGGCTCCACTGACTGGTAAGGAACATAGGAAACATGTACACAGGTCTGAGAAGGCTCGTTATGCAGTGGGCTGTGAGGCTACAAGACACCCTTTGAACAGTTAATTATATCTGTTAAGTGCTATGTGAGACTACTGGAATGTCAATTTCAATGGCGGAGAGGCGGGACCGTGATGAATAGGGTTGTGAGTAAGTGTGCATCCCGGGAGGATGAGAGTACAGTGGTTGCCAGAAAGGAGAGGACAAAGCCTTGCATGCACAATACCAAACGAACAGCAGAAGAGCCGTCATAAACAGGCCCCCTGAGCTAGCGATAGTGACAAATACTGCGTAGTCAAAGGTAAAGACTGGCTCAAACTTCTTGTTGAGATGGCTGTTATAAAAGATGACCCAGATGGATGGAGAGAGGCTCACGGTACCTGCCAGGAAAAACAGGAGTCCGGCCACCAGGTGGCAACCTGCACTATTGACCAGACACTTGGCCAGTTTGATGTTAGGCACAGAGGACTTGAAGGCTGTATTACACATTCCAATCAGGCAGAGTAACAAGGCACCCATTGCGATCAGGATGCTGAGGGGCAGGGCAAACTGGAGGACACGCAGGTCCAGCTGGTCCACTGACAGGTACCAAGTGCGGTCATACATCAGGCAGTCAGTGCTGCCATCATACCGGGCACATTTCACCCACAGGCCTGTGTAAATTGTCAGGTTCTTCTCATTCCTGTTGAATGTGATCAGCCGCAGTTTCCTCCAGTTGGGAAGCAGAGTCCCCGCAAAGAGGCCTGCTACAGAGGCAATACCACACAGGAAGGACAGGACGGTGGCTGCATGGACATCTCGGCAGCCCATGGCAGCCCAAGCAGAATGTTCAGTCTGGGGGATGACACACAGAGGGGAAATCAGGCACAGTAGGAGAACACAGATAGAGCTGCCATAACAGGCAGCATATTTACAGAGGACACACTAGTGCAATCCTAGCACTTCTGAAGCAGGAGGACTGCAATATGTCTCAGGTCAGCCTGGTCTCTAAACTGAGTTCTAGACCAGACCCTGCCACCACCCACCCGTCCCAATAGAAAGAAATTAAAGAAAAACAAAAGATGGAAACCCGTTTCCTCCCTGTATAATACGAGTGTACATTAGCATATATGTCCCAGATCAAGTGCACACAAGTGCTTTGCCATCACTTTGTCACACTGTAACAAATATCTTTAGCCATCATTATTTTTCTTTATAATTAAAGACAAAAACATCACACCTAAAATTTACAATTGGTTGTCAATATTCACTCAGCACACATATAGGGGCCACTGTGCATATCAGGTATTCAATGAAAAAGCACAAATTATTCAAACTGTAGCAAGGTCTAGAACACTCAATACCTAACAGCTACAGGCTCTACAACTTCAGCCTAAGAGCTCAAGCAAACTTAAAGTGAGATCCAAGCAGCAGGTGAGTACGTGGTCTCCCAAAGGCAAAGGGATGGAAGAGCATGGCAGGACAGCGGGGACAGCTGCCTCTTGACCTGGCTGACAGACAGACATTCCCTGTGTCTTCACTCTTCGTCTGCAAACTAGGTAAGAAAGTAGTGCCTACCTCACAGGGTTTTTTCCTCATAGGTCCAATGAGTTAATGCAATGTCACGTGCTTAGAACACACATGAAGCACAGTGTAAAGTGCATGTAGGGTATAAGCACAGGCGACTACCTTTTCTGCTACACTAGTGCTCAGTACTTGGGACACTAGAGTTGTTTAAGCAACGTTTACTGAATGAATGCTACATGAGAAAAAGCAAACTCATCTCATTGCTGTAATTTTGGCACACCAGGAAATTATTACAAGTGAAATGGGCCCATCTCTAGTCAATCAGTCAAATAGAGAAGAGAAGGCCCTGGAATCTCTGCTTACCTACCTTCTGGATGATTTCATGTGACTCAAGTGCTTTTCAGGGAAATCTCTAGCACTTGGTAGTTATAAAGCTATTAACGTTAGTGTAAGAGAAACAGATTCTGAAGTAGAACATCTTTAGAACACCTTGCCATTGTAACAGTAACAGCAGCACAGCCTTTCTTCTCAAATTACAAGGCTGTATTCTTTTCCCATCTATAATTAACTATATAAAGCAGTATCGGATTCAGATTTAATTTTCTCCAGAGTTTATAATGCACCTCAAAGCACAACTTAAACATATTTTCCACCATGACGCAACAGAACAGACAACTTTTAGGAGTACATTTACTTTGTTGTTGTTTAAAGCAAGATGAAGGGCCAAAGTTGACAGTGACTTTTAAGTCTGATATAATATCATGATGTTCACAGAATCCATCATCTTTTCGAGAATCAAATATTCTCTACTGAGATGGTACAGGAACATTCCCAGAAAGTCAGAATCAGAAATATAATCATGGTGAAATACTAAGAAACTAGGTTAGGTTAGCACACGCTTCAGCAAGCAAACACAATGTTCTGTAGAAAACAATGTCATGTTATACACCCATGTAAGTTAGGAACAGTTTTACTAACAAAAATTCTATCCCTGTGTATTCAAATACTAATACATCATTAAGTGTATAATACGAAAGTAGAGCTTGGGCATAAACGGTCTTAAATTAGATTTTCAAATTAAACATGGATAGTTCTAAGTTTCCCCATAGTATTAGCTACTACTTGTTATGCTGCCTTCTGTCAGTATCAGACATTGTAACTGTTCCAGAAAATTTTCAGAGTTAAATTGCAAAAATATAGGTTAGTTTTCATGTAAATTAGAAAAATAATCCACCCTTCCACCTTTCTTGTTTAATTTTAGCAACAAAGACTTTGGTTCAGAACTAACACCTTGGTGCAGGTTTGAGAATACTCGCATTAGAAATGCTTAATGATACCAAGCTCCACAATTCAGTTCCAGTTGTTTTCTGACCTGTTTCCACCATATATGATGAGCAGTTTGCATAGTACCTGGCATACAAATCATTTTAGGATTATATGAATGAGAAGTGGGCCACATACCAAGGCTATACAGTGTATTCACAAATGTGGGCTAGACAAAGAAACAGCTATGACTAAGAAGTCAGTCATGTAACAATTTTTTGTAGCGTGTGATGCATATGGAAAATGCCCTGAAAGGACACTGCCCTAGTGTTAATAAAAATATGCTATTACATGCAAATTCAAAATCCTGATGGTTAACCAACTGTATAATTACCATGTATTAAGTGATCATTGTTGTTATATTAAGCAGCATAAGCCAGTAAACCATTTATTAAAAAGTTATTGCCCTGGGTTAGGTAAAGATGGAGCAGTAAGAAAAAGGTTACTCCTGTTTCTTTTAAAGCTTCAAGACTCCTTCAGCAAATACTTAATCACAATTTCATACTTGTTTCCGGAGATGGGGAACAAATACTCACAATCTCAAAGTAACAGGAGTTTCTCCAAACAGCCTGCCCTGTGCCACTGATCCCTGCAACCCAAAGGCAATGAAGAGCAAGATCAGAATATACAGCTTTATTATTAATACTTTCCTGCGATCCTTAGCCTACAGACAATCAAACACTATTAATGAACATGGGCAGACCAGCATTTATTTCAACGCTAAGTGTATTTATACCTTCCTTCGAGTTGATGTTAAATTCTGCATCAGATCTCTGAACTTGCTATGGTGACACATGCTTAGTTAAACTCTCAAAGACTAACAGTTTTATAGTCAACAGACATACCATGAAATGTGTTTCAGAAAGAGAACGTTAGCGATCTCAAATCTTCAGGTTCAACCCTAGTGCTGAAACTAATGTTTAGCATCTTGTAACCTCCTTTGGTCATTTCACTTATCCTGTTATTAACTCTACATATCTATAATTTGATAGTAAGTCTCATCCCATAGTGAGATAACCTCTCATAAGGTGGTGGAGGAATGATATGAAATGATATATTTAGTGTTGAAACTAAAAAAAATTGCTGACTTTCAGATTAAGACTTATTCAAATTCGAAACCCCTGTGCTATGTCGATGAATTCTGTATCCAGAACAATTTTTTGAGATGCAGATCTGTCACTTCACTTCTTTCCAACTCAATAGTTTCCACTTCCTGAATAATGAAGTCTCTGAAAACCTCAAACCTCCCCACAGTGTCCACCCTCTGGCTTCCCCCATTCTCAGCCTCTTTGTATGTCACTCTCTTACCTTACACAGCTAGCTATGTCACCATACTGTTTAACCTTTCCAAACTTTCTACTTAACCTCCCAGTTTTTCTGCTTTTTAATTTAATCCAGAGCTAGGCCACATGGCATTCTTCAGAACTATCTTTTTAAAGATTTATTTTTATTTTATGTGTATGGATTTTTACTTGTATATGCGTTTGCGCATCACACGCACGCACGCAGTGTCTGAGGCCAGAAGAGGATGTCAGGTCCTCTGAAACTGGACTTCAAGATGGTTTTAAGCTACTACGTGGGTGCTGGAAACCAAACCAGGTCCTCTAAAAGAGCATCAAGTGCTCTAAACTGCTACGCCAACTCTCCAAGCCTTTAAGAACTTTCTCAGTCCCACCATATTCTTTAGTGATATCCAGTCATACTGCTGGGGAGGTCTACCTAACCCCCCCCTTCCTGTTCACAGCCTTCCTCCATCCCCGGCTGCATCATGTGAACAGCACTGTTTTACTGTCTTTGGTGGCAGTGATAATGCTTACAATTCCTTGCTTATATATTCTTCTTTCCCAACAGATTATGAATTTCAGGACCGAGATCCCCGTTCTGTTTGGTGTGTTTCCTACTGACACACAGAAGTACTCCATTACTTACTGACTGAAGCAATCAATACATAGCTGGAGACAGAGAAAATTATAAAGTATTATAAAGTTGGTTTAGTATAAGTTGAACTCATTTCATTTGGTAAGGTCACCACAGCCTAATCTCTGAAACACTCAAGATGTTTCTAGATTATGTGTCTGTTTCTGCTCCTTATTGGCCAAAACTCTGTCCAATTTTGTAAAATGAAAGCAAGATTTGTCTAGCAATGACAGAACTTTTGTTTTGGCGTGGTTACTGACCAAATCAAATACTCTGATCCAAAACAGTGACTCCACAATTGTCATCTGTTCCGGAGAGACTTTCAGAGAGGAAAATCTGGTACATCAATGATAGTATCATTGTTAATAAAAATATTTTCAAAAGATTATTTTCTCTGGCTTTGAAGAGAGTTCAAAGAAAGCTGATGCAGAAATACTGGCTAAGAGTTTTTGAAATTCTCAAAACCATTATAATTTTTATAGGGACAATTCCAAGGAATCACTACAAAAGAATGCATGCCTTATGGCCACTACATAATTTCTGATGCTAACACTGGCTATCCCTTCTACCTACAATTTAGGTGTCCTTGGAATCTGTAACCATCAATCCCTGTTCCCACAAAGGTCCTCCACTGTTATTTTGCTGAAGAAGAGAAGAAAAGCAGCGTTCCTGAATGAGACAGCAGAAACATTATAAACCACTTACCCTTTAGTGTATCTGATCCTCCAAAATCAGCTTACTGAACTCAGATGAAACAGGAGCATGTGCACACAACGCAGAGATAATCTGGACCTACCAAAGTAGAAAAAAATGATGCTCCAAAGTACTACAGTCCTTCTCTCAAAGGTCTATTTTAATTCACATATAACAGGGAGGGGGAAGCAGTAACCATCTAGACTTAATAAAATGCTACAGCAAACAGGCAGGCAAAAGTTTCTCAAAAAGACAGTTTAAGGTTGGGGTGTAGCTCAGTGCTAGAATGTGTGCCCATCAAGTAGAAGGCCCTAGGTTGAAACACCAGGACCATGAAAAAGCAAAGCCAAAAACACAACAAAAATAACACAGGCAGTCTGTTCTTATATTCACTAGTAGATTTGAGCCTCAAAAGAAAAATAAGTCTTATTTTGTGATTTGAAAGTTCAGGATAATTAAGGCTAAAATTAAAAATCACTTTACTGGGTTAGAAATCTAAGAAAAAAAATAATGGTTTTATTTTTTCAAGATCCAGTTCCTGCCTATCGTGTCCTAAGCACTATACAACTGTCTTGGAATGAAAAGAAATGCACTATTTTCTAAAGTGTTTAAAAAATGGTATTTACAATAATACCAGACAAAACTGACCTGCATTGTACAACCTAAAATTAGCAACTTTTTTTGTCCTTTTTCCTCTATGTTGTGTGTGGTATCGCCCTTGGCTCAACCTGCCATTTGGTATGTTTTCTTATCTCTAAAGAAGAACGACTTCCTCTTTAAATACTAGTTAACTCAAACAGGTAGGATGAGTGAAAACTCATAAACGCCTGGGCGCTTCCTGGATCGAGGCGTTCATCACTGGCCCTATTACAGTAATTATGCAGTACGGGGCCCGGGTGCTGATTTCGATCCAGGTTCCCCACCTCCCATCCACAATTCAAGTTGTTATCAAGCACGGTTGCTTCAAAGTCAGAAGGGCTCGTTTCTTACAACCAATGACATCAATCGGACCCCTGGGCAACCTTTTCCAGTGAGGTCACCTAGCGTGGAGAGTGGACCCTCTGCAGGCCAGGGCAGTGTCGGGGGACAGCAAAGCCAGCTCGGCCAGCTGCGCACGCTCGCCCCCGCCTCTGCCTGCGCCGGTGGGAGCCGCGTCCTCAGGAGACCCCGAGCGGCCGAGCCGGGGAGAGGGGGGCGGCTGCGCACAGCCAATGGCGTGAGTGCGCCCCGCACGCTCGCCGCGAGCCCACCCCTGCCCGGTGCGTGGGGAGCGCCAGCAGGTCAGCGTTACACAACCAACTCCGTCAGCCGCTGGGTCGAAAATAGCAGCTAACTCGCAGCTCGCGCCTCACACCCCCGCTCGCCCGCCCGCCCCCAGCCCTCGGCTGCCCCGGCAACGCGGCTGCACATTTCCACACTCCTCTGAGGGCACGAAAACGTTTTAAACGCGGTACCAAATACCTCCTCAGCCACTTTCCACATCCACCCATGTGGGCAACGTTTAAAATGCCGACTCGCCGCCACTTCGCCGCTTCACGTAACACCTTCAACTACTTGCAAAATACTCCGAAACGGGAGCGTTCCTGACCACACCTACCAGCTCCTCACCGCCCGGGCATCGGGCTCGCCCACTCGCAGCTGCGTCTCCTTGTCTCCCTCCGCTGCCGCGGAAGTGCGTTCTGGCGAAGCCGCCCCGGAGGCTTCAGGGAGCCAGTCAGGCTCTCCCCGGGCCCTGCTCTGGAAAACCTTGGCTGCCTAGAACTACAGTTCCCAGCATTCATCTGGCCGCTGGCCGTGGGCCCTATCCTGAGACCACCTCCTCCTTCCGGGTCCCGCCTCCTTCGCTTCCTCTTGCACCTTGTTAGAGCTAGGTTTAGGGCTTGGTTTCGAATGCACTCGCGCACTCGCATGAGGGACAAATTTTGAGATTCGGGTACTCAATCAAAAGTTGTTCGTTAAATGCAAGAAAAGGTCTAATTCCATGGCCACACAGGTTTACAAGGGGCGCTTTGCAAGTTACTTCTGTGGTTATCTAACTATAGGCAAAAGATAACACTGCAGTAAAATTCCGTGCATAAAGCTAGTCGTTAAGTATTTCATTTGACTCTTCGACATACACATTAACTATCTTCTCCCGTCTTTTCTTGTATTTGCCGATAAATATGTCAAACGATTCATACACAGTATTTATTAGATTGAAAAAATAAATTAAAAAAATGATGCCTATGACTTCCAATGATTCCATCCCACCATACATACATACACACAGGCAGACACACACACACACACACAAATGGAGAAACAAAAACTGGTCGATGTTGACAACTTTTTCTTTAATTTGTTTTATCTTTTTTTTTTTCTTATTCACTTTACACCCTCCTGGACACCCCCCTCCCACAGTCCTTCCCCCATCCTCCTCCCCTTCTGAGTGGGTAAACCCTCCCCCATGCCCCAACCCTGGCAATTCAAATCACTGTGAGGCCAGACAAGGCAGCCCAACTAGAGGCAGACACAGTATCCCAGGTACGGACAACAGCTTTTGGGATAGCTCCTACTCCAGTTGTTCAAGACCCGCTTGAAGACCAAACTGTACATCTGCTACTTATGAGCAGGAAAGCCTAGGTCCAGCCTGTTTGTTCTTTGGTTTGGTTTGGTTTGTTCTGAGAGCCCAAGGGTTCAGGTTAGTTGACTCTGTTGGTCTTCCTGTGGAGTTCCTAGGCCCTTCAGGGCATGGCAGTACTTCCTCCTTGTTCTTCAGTAAGAGTCCCCAAGCTCCATACACTGTTTGGCTGTGGGTGTCTGCATCTGTCTGAGTCAGCTGCTGGGTGGAGCCTCTCAGAGGACAGTCATGCTAGGCTCCTGTCTGCAAGTATAACAGGGTATCATTAATCGTGTCAGGGATTGATGCTTGCCCATGGGATGGGTCTCAAGTTGGGCTGGTTATTGGCTGGCCATCTCCTCAGTCTCTGCTCCATCCCCTCTGCCTGTGTTTCTTGTAGACAGGATAAATTTGGGGTTGAAAGTTTTGTGGGTGGGTTGATATCCCTATCACTCCACCAGGGTTCCTGCCTGGCTACAGGAAGTGTGTTCTTCAGATTCCAAACCCCCAATGCTGTGAGTCACAGCTAAGGTCACCCCCATTGATTCTTAGGTGCCTCCCATATCCCAGGTCTCTATGTTAACACGTTTTTTATTATTTAATTTTTTCATACACATTTTGATTATGTTTCCCTTTCCCCTGACCTCTTTCAGCTCCCCACCACCTCCCTACCCACTCAGCTTCATGTTATTTATGAAAACAAAAACAAAGACCATGAGACTTAATCACACAAACAAACCTCAATAAAACAAGAAATCGCAAACCAAATCAAAACAAAAAGCCCACAAAAGACGTGGAGTCTTGTTTTTCAGTAGCCAACTGCCTGTGATTGATGTCGTTTTGGATAAAATTGGTCTCTTTCTCAGTAGGTATCAATTCCAAAGAGCCTCTAGGTTAGAGAATAACTTTTGAATCTAAGCAAGTACACAATTTTTTTATAATATTCATTTAAAAGTTCTGTAGATTCTCAATTGCCATCTCTCAAAAAGGATACACAATTCTCATAGTTGACAGGACTGTAAACCGTCTCACCCGTTCTCTGCCCTGGTGTTACCTTGGAGAAGAAGACTGGGGTGTCTTATGGTCTCCATCTGTATAACAGTGTGTTTGTACCAGAAAATCATGAGAATTAAATTAATCTAAGCCTTATAAGAAGGAAAACATAGAAAAGTATAGCAGTATCTCACACACAACAAGGACTTCACTATTAATACTTTCCATTTTGTGTTGCAATAGTAACCACTAGACTCTTACTCGAAAAGTGGGGAAGTCTATTATCTGTCCACTGCTATCTTTTTCTCACGATGGCCATATTGTTTCAGGGGGCAAACAAGTCTATCTAAGGCCAGAAACAATTAGCCCCCAAGCAGAACTGGAAAAAGTAGGTCTCTAGCACACAGGTCTTGTCACCCGAGTCCTGTTTCTGGCCCAAGCTTTTCTGCCACCTGAGTCTGGACAAGATGCTTCATGGGCCCTCTTCTACCATGTAGGCGCCACCATGGGTTGTACTCTCAAATATAAGCCAGAATAAACCTTTCTCTCTGTGTTCTTCCTGTGAAGTACTTTGTCACAGTCATGAGAAATGCAATGCAGCCCTCTCTTTCCTCCATTCCTCTTCCATCCTAAGAACCCTTTGACTACTTGGGGACACCCAGACAGGATGTCACAGTTTTATGGACCTGATTAGCAATTTTAAGTTCATCCAGAACCTTACCTCACTCTTTGCCATGTAATATAACATGTTTAGGTTTGGAAAAGGTTGTGCTGACTTTAGAAAATCTCACACTGCCTAACATATTCCAAGAACCTCTTCCAGGCTGAGCCCAAAGATCTGATTTTTGAGGCTTACTTTTCTCTACTTTTTTTTCTTTAACCACTTTTCCAAAAACCTTCTTTTCCTTGGATTTGAAAGTGCTGCTATTTCTATCTCTAATCTCTCCATTTAGTTCCGTGTCAACCTTTCCTTTCCTTTCCTCCTTCCCAATCTCCAGTGTAGTTAGCAACAGGCTAGGTTTCCTGCTCTTCCCTAAGCCAACACACTTTCTTGGAGCAGAGCAACCAATTTTCTTAAATCCACATCTTTGGCTCAGACTTGCCATTCCTTTAGTATATAATTACCAGCCTGTGTGCTTTTTTTGCTCTAGAATCAATTCAGCCTTTGCTAATACAAGTTAACTGTACTCCTGTGGCATTAACCAAGGGCCTTACCACGTGAGTGGTTTAACTTCATTATCCATTTTTTATTGATATATTCATTTTTAGCCATTTTTATTCAATATTTTATTTATTCACATTTCAGGTGTTACCCCCTTTCCCTATTCCTCCCCCTCCCTTAATCCCCTATCCCATCCCTTCTCTTCCTTTTTTGCTTTTATACTGTTTAAATTACATGCAAGTAGTCAGTTCTAGGTTGAAGAACTAGCAATACAATAGATGCAAATAGTCAAGGAACTACCAAGACAAACTGGCAGGAATCTAAAACTTAAACTAGAACAAGGAAGTAGGCTTCAGGTATAAAAATGACTTTGGGCTAGGACAGGGAAGTAGGCTCAGATAGTTTGGTCATCCTGATAAATCCTTAGAAATAGTGATCACAGGACTCTGTTTATTGTCCTGCGTGTTCTTTGACTATCTGGGTTTATTGTTATATTCTTTATACTCTATTTAAATTAGGAATCACATCTTGATTCCTCCTGTAATGGAAAACAAGGGAAGACAGTTCTGAGTATTTGTAGTAGTCAGAGAGTGGGAAGCTAGAATTTTTTATTAATTATTTTATTTCTTTACATTTCAAATGTCCCCCTTCCCAGTCCCTCCTCCTCAAGCCCAGCACCCCACTCTCTCCCCTTCACCTCTAAGAGGGAATGCCCCTATCCTCCTCTTTGCCTATTGAATGTGTGTCTGTCATTAGGGAATCAGGAGCGTTGGGGATTGTAGTGAGGAGCTCGGGCCACTGAGGGCCACTGAGGGCCACTGAGGGCCACTGAGCTACCACGGCAATAGGAGTAGCATTAACTGCCTAACGCGACACTCTTTAATGATGGCCTAGAAGAACAAGCCAGATAAACCCTTTCCTCTCCTAAGACTTTTTTCTTCTTCCTCAGAGTGGTTTATGTCAACCATAGGAAATGAAGTGAAACAGTAGGTAAAGGTTTACGATTACATAGAACTGTTAAACACCTAGGCGTGGTGGCTCATCCCTGTTGCTACTTGGCCTAAGCTGGAGGATCATTTCAACCCAGGGAATTCAAACGGCTTCCTGGGCAATGTAGAATATCAACTAACACACACACAGAGAGAGAGAGAGAGAGAGAGAGAGAGAGAGAGAGAGAGAGAGAGAGAGAGAATAGGAAAAGAGAAAACTTCAATGCATTTTCAAAAACTGCTAGGAATCCACAGTACAATCTGTAACAGGAAGCACGGCAGCTCATTGGTTTCTTTTTAGGAGTTGTGATACTGGGGACTGAGCCTTTATCCTCACACATGCAAAGCAATCTGCTACTAAGTGATATCCCTAGACTTTTTTTTTTTTTGCATTCATTTTTCAGTCAGGATTATATGTAGCCCAAGTTGACCTTGAATTTATTCTCCTTGCCACTAGGGTTACAGAGCTATCCTACCAACCCTGCAGTAAGTTTCTAATCTTTAATAGTTGCTATCTGCGAGTTGAGGAAGGACAGATGATACAGAAAGGTTTGTCTAGAAGTGAGGCAATGACAGCTTTGTCTGTACCTGTTTTCTGGGTTCTAAACTGTTCAGTGTAACAATGACCACCACCCCCTGCCCTGGTTTCAGTTTTTAAAAGAGAAACTTGTGTCTTAACTTTTGTAGGACTACATTACAGATTTGGAAAAATCACATATCTGATTCTTTGAAACAGATTAGCTTTGATGGTCTCCTGTTTTATAGGAAAAAACCATCTGTATCCATAGTACAGTTCTTACTGTTATTCTTGATGCCAAATGGTACCACTTCTGGGAAAGATAGTTTTTGAAACTGAGGTTCAATTATTATATAGTATTCTTTTTTTCCCCGTCATGATGCAGCTGACTAGGGGCTTTTGCTATTTTATTTAATCATGTTTCAAACCTAGTCAGAAGCTTTTACTCAACATCTGTCCTTG